CATCACCGCAGAGGAGCCAATCAGCTAGATGTTGCTGGGGCCACTGTGAGCCAATCATCAGCCGGCAGCTGGAAGTTTGCTGGGGCCCCTTTGGCTGTGGCTCTCAACAACTATAAAGAACAAATAAAAAATATGGGGGGGAAAAAAAAGATTCCATACTCTGGGCTAAATGCCCCCCATTTTTATCTTCATGTCTACCATTACTAATTGTGTGGACTTCAGCAACATATGCTAGTTCTGTGTTCTTTGGTTTCTTTATATAAAAGAAATCTATGGTAACTATACTGATCTTGGAGTTGTGATGAGAACCATAAATGACAGACTCATGTTATGTACTTGACATTGTGCCTGGCACATAGTAAGCATCAAGAAACTAAGCTTAGAATACTATAATGTCTAGCTGCTTTGTCACTGTGTTAGTGTCAATAAAACTGGAGAGACACATTAATGGTGCTAACTCTGATAGACGAGTTTTGAAGTCAGACTAAGTCCATTTAAGAAAACATCTTAGTTCTAGAAATTGAAATGTAATTCTGGAAATGAAAGGGTTCTCCTGATTATCATCTAGACAATATCCCATCTGGTTTACACTTTAGAATATCCTTGATTAATATCAATCAGGTAGAGAACTTCACTGAGAGGTAAGTGACAGATCCGTGTTACATGTTATCTAGAGCATCACTGAACAAGATCCCCCAAAGCTGGTTATCCAAATATTAGTGAATACTAATATTTGGCCCATCAATTAACTACTGTAGCCCTAATCTGTAAAATAGGCAAGACAAATATCTGATTTATGAAGTTATTGTGAAGATTTGGTAAGTCAATGTATGTGAAAGCATAGCATATTTAATACATTTACATATTGTTGAAGATCTATTTGCTATTTGCTTGAGTACCTGAAGTAGTAAGAAAATCTCACCTCCAGTGTAGACATTTACTGTTTACTAAGACACTTATCTTACAGTTTAAGAGTTATCCTTTTTTTGAGGATCCTTAAATTGAGTTCAGATTTGCTTCCTAGAGTTTCCACCCACTGAAGAGAATCAGCAGCAATAACAAGTAGGATTTCCTACTACCAGCCCTCAGACTGGAGTGGGTAAGGACCAATTGTCCTCAACCCTCCTGCTCATATTTGCGGTTTCCATTTTCTATATGTCCTGATACATAGTCATTATTTACCGCAAGGCTCATTTCCTGGGAATGAGAATGTTCTTTCCAGACCCTAAAACATTTCAGGAGACTCGGGATTTATGGAGGATAAGGAAGAAGTGATTTTTTAAATTATATTCTATGGTTTATTGGTAATCCTTTAGATAATTTACAGAGTTTTTTTTTTTTTTCATTTACTATTGTCAACAACCCCACAAGAGTGGGTGCACATCATTCTTACAAACATGTAAGAAAACCGATGCTCAGAGAGGTGGACAACTCATTTGAGGTTGCCAGCTGCTACATGGACAAGTCAGGCACAAGTCTATGCTACCCAAGGCTCACACTTGGATATCTCTGTGATCCTGTATTGCCTTCTCATTGGTTATGTTCCCTGAAGATAAGCCCCCATCCTGGAATAAACTCTTAGGATTCATGTCAATCCATCCCTGCTTACAATGTTTCCACAGTGCAGTCTTCCGCTGGAAAATGATTCACATTATCCATAAAAACTTAACACTGAACTATAACTAGCAAAACAAGTTTTGCCTAGATGACACATTTTAAAAGGTTACAAACTTACCAGATTGCTTCACTTCATCTGGAGAATGGAATATGCACTGTGAACACTGGCTTAGTGCTTATAATTAGTTTTTCAAAAAATATCTGAGCTATTTATTCTTACTACCTACCAGTTCTGTAGATTTCCTTTGGGATACCATCCAGAGCCTTCTACCATGTGATTCTGCTTCCCACTGGATCATGGAGTTGGTGGGAGCCCTCTCCAGCTTGGATCCAAACCTCTGCCGAGCAATGACCAGACTTCTTAGGGGTCTTGGCAATGAGCTCATGCTTTCTGTATGCACTCTTAGCTCAACTCAGAATTCTTAGCATTTTCCAGTGATCCAGATATTCTTCACTGAACTCTGACTTTCTATAGTGCATAAAAGTTCAAAAACTGGACGGTTAAGATTTGTTCTTTGTTAAGTCACACATCTGACCCCTTACTGCCAGTGGTTAGCCACATGGAGAGCTATAATTATGTAAGTCCTTCAGATTTTATGAAGCTTGATGAATTAATTGGATTTTATAAAGCTCTTTGAGCTATGAACATGAAAGGTGTTATGGATGTGTTAAATACTTTATTTCTAATGTCCATTTTGCACTTAAAATCCAGAGGAAGCTTTTATTATGCAGCCCCAGCCCCGAAGCAAGCCAGTGGCAAGGACAAGAGTCGACTGCTTCATCAGAAGTCAGATCTCACAGAACTGAGGTCACTCCCTCATGCATTTTAGAATATATTCTGCATTTCTTTTAACATGAACATCTGGAATTTGAATTTGACAATTCAAAGCCAGACTTCACTTTCTATGACTTTTCTCCAATTTGGGGACAGGGATCCCTTCTCTGTAAGTTTATTATTTAGACATTATTTCTTTTTTTCTTGTATTCTTTAAAAACAAAGATGTCTCATTGTTCTTGGTTATAATTCATGTGGAGAGACAGAGGCAGAACATAAGAGAGATTAGAACCAGATACTTGATGGCAGTTTATTGCCTGTATGTATAATTTTTGCTGTTTTTGAGGGGTGACACATTTCATTTATAAGGTGGATGACTGATTAAGATAGAAAGTTGCTGAAGAACACAGGGCTTCCTTGGTTTCCGTCACCTGTTCTTTCAGTTAAATTAGTTTGCCGTTCTACATGAGAGATCGAGTAAACAAAGGGTCAAGGGCTTCCCCAACAGCAGACCGGCAGGCAGACACTGCCCTTGAAGAACAAAGCAGTTTGTGCTTGGTGACAGTTTTTGCAGTGACTAGGACAGATGGGAAATCAATGGTTGACTGTGATGTGACATCTTTGACTCTATTGAAAAGATCACAGTGGGGGAAAGGGGGAGTCACATGTCGGTTACCTGTGATATAATAAAAGATGATGAAGTAGAAAAATAAAATACTCAAAACTGATGCATCCTTAAGTTGAAGGAAGGAAGGAAGGAAGGGAGGGAGGGAGGAAAGAAGGGGCCACTGGAAAATCTGCATG